AATGTTTTAACATTGCTCGGATACTTAAACAGTTCTGAAACCATTCTGAATTCTGACATGAGTAGGCTGAATACTACTGAGCAGCTCATCACGCTTTTCTGCTGTTCGTGTCTCATAATGCCATTCTTCAGCAAGTTGCTTTTTTAGAGATTGTGTTATCATAATGTCTAAAGGTTATAGCCATGACTGTGGTCTGGATGTGCAGTGCACACTAAAAACCCATAGAAGATGACATCTCTGTTTCAAAGCCTCACGGATGAGCAATAAGTAGAAAGAAGAAAGGAAGAATGTTGGAAGGGAACAAGCAAAATAGGACTGACTATTAGGTAGATTAAATATTCCAATATTAATGTTCAGGTGCTTAATGTTTAGGAGGCTTTCAAATTTAAGTGATGTATTTCAAATATGTTTCTTAACGTAATTTTGCTTTCATACTTTAAATGAAACAGAATTTGCTAATGCGGGTCAAAAGCCGGAACTGGGAAGGTGATAGTTTCTTATCACCTGGTCCAAAGTGGATGGCATTGCTGCGCTATAGTTTGAGCAGAGAAGGAAAAATGACGAGAGATGGATTGGTTGCATGGGCTTGTAACAAAGTCATGTGGACAAAACCAGTACAGCTTGCTCTTAATATTTCAATACTGCAAAAGAAAACAACCACTAGAAGGCATTATTTGATAGGCAGAAGTATGCTTTGCTCAGGTTTGCCTGAGCTTTTGTGTTCTGGACAAACTGTTGTTACTCAAGGTAAGGGGAAGCATGTAAGAACTGTTAAACCATGTTTCAGTGATTCAGATACTTTTTTAGTACTTCAGTAAGTAGACTAAGGCAGTTTTGTTTAATGGAGACTTTTCACCTTTCTTATTTTTTGTGCCTCAGTTTTCTCATCTGTTTTTAAAAAAAAAAAAATCCTAAGTATCTTCAAATGGTCAGAAACTGTAATGATAACTGCTATAGATAATACCGCTATAAAAATAGAAAGTGGGTCTTCAGAGTGAAATTAAAGTTCCGTGCAATCGTGGTGGGACCACAGCAATGTATTAGTATATAGCAAATATTTAAATAGTTGCTCCAGAACTGCCTACTGCGTGCTCCTTACTATGAGGGTGGAATCCTGTGGAAAACACAGTATATTGCCAGGCAGCTAAACTATGCCAATGTTTATGTGTGAGGGGAACAAACAAGTACTATGTGAGCAACCTTAACTTTGATTACATGACTTTTTCCTAATATATTTCATGTGGTAGGGAAATGCTTCACTTATCACTTAGGGAAAGTGATAGATAAAACTCTGTTTTTAATGCACCCGTAGTACACCCTCACTGAATTCTTATTACTAGTTTAAAATTGGATGAAATTGGTTACTTGGATACTTCTCAGCAGGATCATTCTTTATGGTTGTCATCCTAAAGAAACAAGAGCTCATGCAATCATGTTTTGTCTTTTTCCCATCCTTCTGATTGCTTTTGAAACCTTTAGCACCTTCAAATATGGTGGGCAGAGGGGGTTGAGCGTTCAGCGTAAGTTAATCTAAGACATTTCGAGGAAAAAAAACATAATACTTGAGCAAAAGAGAGACCATCAATAATGCCTCCAGTGAGAGAAATACCTGCATGTGAATCCTACAGTTATCTTCTTAAATTTGGCCTTCCAGGCAGCCACTGCAGCACTGTCTGGCAAGTTGCTATGTGCCTAGCTGGGAGGGAGCCTGCGGCAGCACTGGTCTCTCACCTCGCTGTTAGACAGGGGAGCTGGGAGAAAGCACCCAGAAGGAGGTGGGAAGGAGAAGTGGGAGCAGCATAGAAAGTAATAACGGGGATTTAATGTTGTTGTGGAGCATAGGAGGAGGATGGAAGAAGGAATTGTACAGGCGTGAGGTTTAGGGAAGCAAACACTCTTCAGACTTTCACTGAACAGCCTATGCTAACAAACATTGTTTAAAGATGAGGTATCACATACACTATGCACAAACTTCAGAGCAGCAGACATTTGCTTTAACAATTATGTGGTACAACAGTAGCTGCAGTTTCTAATTGCTTTAGCAAATGTAATCAACTTGTACAATATGCAATTAAAACTGAGGGCTTATTTTTTTTTCTGAACAGTTTTTGATATGTAGTACTGGCAGAATGCATTAGGGTTGTGATGGTAGCTGACCTGATTTTAGCATGGATCAAATATTTCATGAAGGAGCTGGATGGAATGCATTTACTAAATTTTCAGTTAATCCCAAAGTAGAAGAGGTGCAATAACTTCAGAGGGTAGCATTATTTCCTAAGGTTGTCTTTAAAATTAGAATTAAGTACTGTAATAAATTGGAAATAGGTGCAAAGTAGAGCATTTTGGTAGGAAAAGTTCACTGCACAAATAGGTAAAAGAAGGAACTGAGTGGATGGTGCATGACAGTGCTTCAACTCTCCTCACCATTGATGAAACACCCTATGTAATATTGTTTCAGCGTTTGGGTGTCACACTTCAACAAAGACCTGGACCAGATAAAGAGCAAATAATTATAAAAACTTTTGATCCTGGGGGGGCGGGGAATGAGGAAGGGGGAAAAAAAGGAGGAGAGCTAGGTTAGTCTGTTACAGTGGGTTTTTTCTACATTGTGGGCCCCTGTGTTCTCAGGAAACAACAAAGAATAGTTAAGAAGTAAATACCTTTTTCAGCTGTCTTTCACTCTATGTGGGGTAGAAACAGGTCCTAGGCATGGCAAAACTGGAACCAAACAGATCTTGAAACAAAGTTAACTGCAGTATTAAGTGTATTACTACTTCTCCTGTCCCAGTGGAGAACTTCTTACGATCTTCCCAACAAAAGAACTATGGATTAGTTTGGAGGAGAACCTCTGTTGCAGTAGTTATGCCCTGGACGAGCTGCCTGGGAGCTGTGGGGTCTCTAGCACTAAAGCAGTCTAATGCCAGAAATGGTCCATAGTGCTGGCACCCCACGGTCTTTCTGACCCTGGGCTACTTCATCCTCAGCTTTTGTTGCAAGCTCAGATGCATCCTGACCATTGTTGTTACCTGAAATACTGTAGAAGTCTGGACTAGCTACAACCTACCTGCAGTGGCTTGGTAAGGGACACTGCCAAGTAAGTGATCTTTCCCTGGGGAAGGAGCACGGATAAGGAAACCTCTTGGGCTTTCTTCTAGACTAATTTTTTAAGATTCTGTTTCTTCATATCAGTTTTCTGATGTCACTTTAACAAGCCTTAGTGAATCAGTATTCCAAATGCGTTGTCTTTTCTTCTGTCTGAATTATTTAATGGTTTTGCTCTGAGATTGTATTGGTGACATTATTAGAAGAGAGCAGTGATTCCTGGATTTTCTTACCTTTGTCAGGCAAAAAGCAGATTGGGCAAAAGAGTACAAATTCTTCATTCTTCTTTTCTTACTGTACATCCTTTCTTCAATTAATTGCTCTTTGCCTCTGGTTTTTGTTTTACTTGTTATTACTTTGAATTTGGTTGTTTGTCCCTTCTCTCAGCCTAACAAGAACTTCTGGCTTTCACATCACCTGTAAAATGAATGCAAAATGCTGAAATTAAACCTGTAATCTTGTACAGTTTGAACTGAGATTTGCTCTGGTCTAAAAAGTTACTTTCTAAAGGTATGCCAATACATCAATCCCAAACGGGGAGTGCTTTCAGGGACGTGCCCATTCATTATTAGCACTGGGAGGCAGGATATAAATTGATAACTTCGTTCTGTGGCCTATGCTTCAGCTTCTCTGATGTAACGTTAGTGAGTTTTGGACGTATCCTTGTATGTTGAAGAAGCGTTTGGATCAGAGTCTCTTTGTGTACATACAAAGCAATTACCTCTTCAGTTGCTGTAAGTGGGAAAATAGAGCTGATTAACTTGGCAATAATATAGAAGAGTCTAGCAATTATTGAAACAAATTTTTACTTGGAAAGTTAAATATTTGAAAACAGACAAGCATAATCTCATTTTTATTTGTAACTGCATCATCTGTAAATTAAAGGTTCAAAACTCCTATTTGTTTGCAGAACTTCTTGGGGGGGAACCTCAAACATGCTGTTTTAAAACACTTAAAGGGATAGGACTTGCATTAACTTTACAGAGCTTCAGATGTAGCTACTCTAAAATGACAATAGCTAAATTTTCAGATAGATATGTGAGTGGGAATAATTTTTTTTAGTATCATTACTGATAAAGAATATTTTGAGTTAATTTTGTGCAACTGCTATAAATTGGGCAGGAGATAATAATAAACAATTTAATCTTCTAAAATAAAATTACCTTCATCTGAACAGCCATAAATTTAAGCCATGCTGCATTTATAAATCTGTTGAAGTCTATTCAGGGGGACTGTTCACATAAATAAAACTACAGATCTGTTTTAAGTGTTCATACCAGTGGACCTAGCATTGTTTTCTATATAAAAGAAAGCTATTGCATAAAATCATTGAAAAAATTACAATGGGTAGTAATTAAGGCACGTGTATGTGTATATATATTTAGTATTAATATGAACTATAATACACATTGTCTGTATTTTTATCACATTAACTTTAAAATGCAAACCTGATGGAGGAATTGATTTGTGGCAATAACTCTGTCATTGTATAGAATTGTTCATGTAGTGTCTGATTACAAAATAGTGTAACGCAGTTTTGTAAGTCTCAATGTTTTTGAAGCTTTTTGCTCTATAGTATTGTCAGAGTAAAGGTGGCAATGAGGCCCTGAACTCTTATCAATTTCTGCATTTACAATTTGAAATGTATTTAAAAAGTTGTCAAAAAAATGAAATTGTCTTAATAATTGAGAAACCAAAATCCTTATTTATAAAATACTTGCTTTGTTGTTTTGATATTTTAAAATATAAAGAGTAAACAAACATCTATTTAAAGTAGATAGTGATATTCATGATAAAAGGCAACCAGTAAAATACTAAAATGTCATGCAGTACCAAGTCAGATGCCTTTACAGTAATAGATTACACTACAGATCACTTAGCAGAGATGCTCCCAGATTATAGAAGGGGTCGAGCTTAGACATGCCCATAGTGACTGGGACACTTTTGAGACTGTAACTTTTTCTAGTTGCTTAAATACCTTTTTTGGTTTTATTGTCCTGCTTTTCTAAACTGTGGTTGCGTTGTGACTGTAAACCTTAACGGTACTGCATTCAGCCTTAAATACAGTATATTTCAGCACTGCATGAAGTTATTAAGGTGGGATAGAGCAAAGTGTTAACACTGATTGTAGTATTTCTGTACAGTCTTAGTCTAATGCAATAGCGATAGAGTTGTGGAAGGAGGTGGTAAGGAACCTGTGCTGGCTGCCTAGTGTCAACTCGTGATGTCCGCTGCCTTTGTACCTGCTTCAGCTGCTCTGGCAGCTGTCTTGTGTGCTTTGGTCTATAGATAGGACTGTTCTTATTAATGATATTCTCTCTTGCCCCTCTTGATCATTCAAGATATGCTGTGATCGCTTTTGGATGTGCCAGCTGTCCCAAACTTACATGTGGACGAGAAGGCTGCGGAACTGAGTTTTGCTACCACTGTAAGCAGATTTGGCATCCAAACCAGACTTGCGATGCTGCTCGCCAGGAGAGAGCTCAAAGTCTGCGCCTGAGAACAATTCGTTCTTCATCTATTAGTTACAGCCAGGAATCTGGAGCAGCAGGTATTTATGATTAGGATACTGTGTCTGTAACGTATCTTTTTAGTACATTTGCACAATTAACTCTAAAAAGGAAAGAACTGAATAGTAGCATGGTAGATACTAGCTGCTTTGTCTTTCAGAAACATAAAATACGCAATTTTGTCTGAATTAAAATTTTAAATGTTATAATTTGAAGTACTCTGTGACCACAGCACCTGACTTCAGTCTTACAGGCTTGTCAGCATTTTAAATTCTTCCTTTGTAGCTGAAAAATGTGAAGTCAAAGGAACTTGCTGCAAAACATTCTCTGTGTTTGGCCCACTAACTTCATTAGTTGTATCACTTACACACTGGGAACACTTTCTCCACTGTAGGTGAAATTTCACAGGGCTGCTAATAATAAAAGCTGTTAAAAATAAAACTCTAAACCACTGATTTTGTGCTTTCAAAAGAGACTATTAGTCTGATGCCAGCCCTGATGTTTGACATCTGTTTGTTAGTACTAATTTCTGTTTTTCAATAAAAAGCTCATTTGTCTTGGCTACCAGAAAGCTAACAGTTCCGTCATCTTAAAATTGAACTTGTTTGTAAACCCCCAAAAAAGAAGATAAACTATTCAGAGTAGTATTTTGCAGAGCAAGATCAGTTTGCTATTGAGAAGAATTGGCTCCGAGTTTCACCAAACTCTGATTTATTAGGCGGCTTTTGTGTCTGCCTGACCAAACAAGGTAGATATTTGGGGAGAAGTCTCTCTTGCACCTTGCATGTAGTTAGAGTGGTCGTTCTCCAATCCAGCACTCCATCTTGTCTTAAAAATTGGCATCTTGCTCTAGTTGTCAAATAAATTTTAAAATAAACTTTAAACAAATGAGCATGTCAGCTCCTTTCCTTGCCCTTTCAGTCACTCCCAGCATGAACAGCAGTAGCTCTGTCATACCTGTGCTGTAAGAACTTGCTCAGTTTAGTTTCTGCACTGGAGTTGGTACTGTTTCTGCTGGTTCTGCACCTCTTTGGATATTCTTTATACCAAGCATAACCCCTCTTTTCCCTTTGTCCTGCCTAATAGCACAGAGGCAGTAAACTTGGACTTCTGCACTAGGAGCTACAAGTTATTTCTGCTGCTGTGAGTAAATAGCTTGTCCCAGAGTGCAGGTGCTAACCAGTAATGTGAAGGAGCGAAGATCACAACTGTGGTTGTGTCAGTATACAAGTATTTCACCGTTGCTCAATGACCAGTTGTTTGTTAATGATAGAGCTAGTCGCTTAGAGAGCCTACAGAATTTTCTTTTTGCTACAATATTGTTTTCTAGGGACTAAGTATTAAGTAGGGCTATAAAAAGGACTCGAGGAGGTTGGTGATACCAAAGAAATGCACTTAATGTGGAAGGGGAGATGGATTTAAGATAGGAAGAAGAAATAACAGGGTGGAGACCAAATATTCAAGTAAAAGATTCATAACAGCATGAAATGTAAAAGAGGATTATATTTAAAAAGACCATATTATCAATCCTGTATTAACATACATATTTAATGTCTGACTAATATATATTGCATTAAGCTTAGAAAATCCTTGAACAGAGTGTATGCGTTAACTATCCAATTACTTGAATGTGATCTAATATGCCTTGTTTTCATTAGTTTTACTTGGTCCAAGGTGTACAAATACAAATAGCTGTCAAGTCATTGCCAAATTAAGATTTGTAAAGCAAAGTTACAGTGAACTTCTGCCATTTTTCAGATAATGGTTCAATCAGTTTGCCCAAGCATATGTCTATATTTTGATGAAATCTGCTTGTCTAAAGAACTGATATGATCTTAATATTCATTTTTAAACAGCTGATGACATAAAGCCATGCCCACGCTGTGCTGCTTATATAATAAAAATGAATGATGGAAGCTGCAATCATATGACTTGTGCTGTCTGTGGCTGTGAATTCTGTTGGCTATGTATGAAAGAGATCTCAGATTTACATTATTTAAGGTACATTTAAGAAAAAAAAAATTGTCGTTGGTAATTTGTTTTCTAAAGTATATAGAAGTAGATTCCTTGGTGCTGTAAGACTGGCTTTCTTCCTGTTGGAGTAGAGAATCACAGTTGAAGTATCCGTATCTGAGAATAAAGTTAGTTTTCAATACATGTATTTAAATTAGTGCTTTGTTGTTTTTTATTTTAAAATATTTTTCTAAGTTTCATGCATGTAATGTGTACTTAGTACAACAAATGAACGTAGCCACTATTTTTACTGATATCTTAATACTGCTGTATTGTCTTCATAGTAAGCAATACAAAAACACTATAAATAAGTTACCTGTGAACCACAAATTGGCATGTGGTAATATACAATATGCTTCTCTTTACGTTGCAAAATATGCTGTAAAGGCAAAAAAAAAAAATCTGAAGAAATTATAACTGATTATTTGGTATCTATAACATATGTAACTTGAACCTAAGAACAGTAATTTTGTAACTATAGAATGGTTCAGTAGTGTATAGTTATGTTGATTTATTTACAAGTTCTTTACAGTTTTCTTACTTCTTTCTATTAGCCCATCAGGTTGCACATTTTGGGGAAAGAAACCATGGAGCCGTAAGAAGAAAATACTGTGGCAACTAGGGACACTTGTTGGAGCTCCTGTAGGAATTGCCTTAATAGCTGGCATTGCTATTCCTGCTATGATTATTGGAATTCCTGTGTATGTGGGGCGTAAGGTAAAATGTGCTACAACTCCTAACGTGCTTCAGGTTTTACCTTCTGCATTGTATAACTTGGGTAATACTATGTTCAGTTGGCTATTTTCACCAGCCTTTAAAAAAACAAAACAAAAAACCCAAACAACCTCCCAAAAACCAAACAAACCAACCCCTGAATTTTTTAAGGATGTTTGTTTCAATTGTACAGGAAGGAGAAGCAGTGTTTTTAAGAATGTAGTTGCTCTTAAAACAGGCAGAGCAAAACACCGAACAATTTCCAATTTCTGCATCTTGCCATCGAAGTTCTTGCATGCTTTTTCAAAATTGCTCTGTTTTTAATCTCTGGTTTCCCTTAGAATTAAACAATATTTAGAGGAGAAGGAAGGCAAAAAGGAAATCCTTTTTATTTTTCTTAAAAGCAGATAGTTACCAGTATTTGAGTATAAAATTCTGCTAGTATAGGTTTGTGCATGCACACATTTAAGCGTTTATACTCAGCAGCTTATTAATTGCCTTGGGCCAGTCCACCATGTGGAGCAGCGTTCAGTGCCGGTAGCTAGACAGCATCTATCTTAATTTTACTGTTTGTGGGAATCGGCTAGAAATGACCATGTTAATCAGAAGGCAGTTGATGCATTTCCTCTCAAAAATATAGTCGCTTTTAGTATAAACTAAATGGGAAATTGCAAGGAAAACAAAAGATAATTACATCTCCTATTTGTAATTTAGGATAAAGTAGTAAGTTATCCAGATCTTTTGGAAATGGGCTTTTTGAAATGATGGCTTGGT